TTTTAACTACGAGACTGCCAAATCAACTACAGCAGGAGTAAGTTCAAGTATAGAATCAAGTGTTTCACAGCCCTTAATTTTTCTTCAGTGTTCAAGCATAAAAGGTCTATAGAAACAACTAGCATGACAAAACAAGACTTAAAATTACTTCACATATAAATGACATAAGATGGTTTCATGGCTTAAAAATATCCTACCAATCAAAAACTCTGGTGTGCATATATCAGTACAGAAACAAGACCATGGAAGCACCATTTAATCCAGCTGTAAGAGAAGAGAATATTCTGTCTCGCAGGACTGCTAAGAGTACAGATGTTTCAGGTGTTTCCAGTTTTTCACAAGGAAGATTTGATACAACACAAAGCTGTATTATACTGTCTGACCATTACTGGTGTAAGAAGCAAGGAATGTTATTTTAAGACCATTTTAATGTGGTAGCTCTGTTTCACCCAATGCATTTTCATAAAAAGTGCTACTACCACACTGTAAATTATATTTAAACTATAATCTACATAAAGGTGCAAACATCTAAACCCGCTTAGACGTACTTAATAAAATGGTCTTACTTACATTGGCAGGAAACTGGATATCTATGTTTATGTCTGAAGTTTTGAAACCAAATCTGCTATAGGAGGAGCCATACAATCTTAATGAGCACTCTGCAACAAAAAGAATTATACTGCATTTACTCTATACCTAATTCTAAGTCTGTAGCTACTTTACAGTGTTGTCAGTAGATCTTAAACCTACATCTAGTCTTGATAACCACTGGAAATAAAGAAGGTTCTTCCACTAGCACAGAACTGTGTTAGTAAATTCTGTCTTCCATGCTGCTGCTAGTAAAGGCTTGTCATGAAGGTCAAATGTCCCCCGTGTGTTGTTCATCTTCATTTCTTACTACAGGTCTGTTTGGGTCATGAACACCATTGTAATTTGATTCTGATACAGGGTTATATTGCCACGTCATGACGTTTAACTGACTAGCAACTAAATATACTGGTTTAGAATTTAGACAGCCAAGGTTTTTAATTAAGTTCTCACTTTATGAGCTGTTGTTATCTTTTTTTTCTGTAAAGTTGGTATTTCTAGAATTTAAAACAAATTGCAAATAATACCTGGCAATTTTTGATGCAGTAAGTTTTCCAACACTGTTTTAATGTTGAGTCTTTCTTCTAGATCTTCATTATTTAAGCCAAACTCCTGCACTACATTTTCAATAGCAACACCAATAGCTTGTATCTGGGAAGGCGTTGGAGGAGGCAGTGCAGTCAGCATCTCCTCTTCTTGCTTTTCCTTTAAAGATAGTAAGATTGACATTTTAATGATTTTATTGATTTTCTTGCATTGATTAATGTTGTAGAATGAATGTCTGCAACTCATTCCAAGTAACACCACCACAGGTTTTCCAGATAATGGAGGTAATAGGAAGCAAGAACATGAAGAGACAAACTGTGACAGGTACAAAAAATTAAGATATTCCAAGAGGCTTCAGTAATGTGCAGAGGTATGTATACATGTATTCTGAATGTTAAAAAAAGATCACCAATTCTTTCATCACCTATGACGCAGGAAAAGGTAGGAGCTGAAGAAATACAAAACCTGCAGAAAGCAAATATTTTTTGTCCACTTCAAGCTGAGAAAGTAGAAGGAAGAGAGAAGATATTTAATTTAAAAAAAATTAAGTAAAATCGACGTTATTCTGGAAGATATTTTGATGTTTATGTTCAAAACAAACCTATTCCCTTTACATATAAACAAGTCTGTAATGCTCCACAAGTTCTTAATTTCATTTACAGTATTTCTGAATTGAATTCTTCACCCTGACATATAGGTTGTAATTTCGAATTCTACCATACCAACTGTATTTGCTTATTTCTACTCCTCACTGCTCTGGACTTGATCAAAACTCTTCATTGTTGAAATATGCTAGTGAAATATACATTAAAAATACACATAACTAGTCTACAAGAAGAATTACGGAACAGCAAAACAGAAGAGTCAGTTGGTACAGCTTTTTTGTTATACTTCAATCACCAGTAACAAAATATTACTGAGTTACACTTTAAATGAGGACTTCTTTTAATAATAATAGAGATGACAAGACACAAATTCAATTCCAAAGCTGAGGGCAGAAACAAAGTCCAGGTCCCGAGATTATTCTTTTTGTCAGTATCATTAAATAAGTTTTTAAGAAGATTCAAGCACGGTAAAAGATAAACGCAGAATTATTTTAGAAGCATTGCAGTTTCATTGTCATTAGCACGGTGATGACAGTTTCATAAATCTGCATTGTATACTTTTTCTTGTCCTTAACTCACTGTTGTGGTTTTAATCCAGCCAGACACCATGCACCCACTCACTCTCCCTGCCCCACCCCTCGGGAACTGGGGAGAGAATCAAAGGGGTAATGGGAAGGAGACTCATGGGTTGAGACAAGAACAATTTAATAATTGAAATAATGTAAAATTAAAAGTAATAATGACAAAGAGAAGAACAAATTTTTGTTTTTTAAGAACAAAAATTAAAAAATAATAGAATATACAAACAAGTGATGCACAATGCAATTGCCCACCACTTGCTGGACCAATGCCCAGCCTGACACCAGCTAGCAATCCCAGAGGAAAGAAATCCCGAAACTGCAATCCCAGAAGAGAGAATGAGTTTCCTGGACAAATCTCACCTATACAATAAGCATGACATTGCATGATATGGAATGTTCCACTGGCCAATTTGGGCCTAAGCCCACATCCTAAGCCAGGGATTGTGGGTCTGTTGCTTCAGCCACGCTCCCTTCCAACTTGCTGTGCACCTGCACATTGGCAAAGCACGGGAAATGGAAAAGTCCTTGATTTCTAAGCAACAACTAAAAACACCAGTATATTATCAACATTATCCTCATACCAAATTCCATACTAAATCCAAAACACAGAGCTATTCTAGCTACTAACAAAAAAATTTACCATATCCGAGCTGAAACCAAGACACTCACCTTCAGGCTCCTCTTGTGTCTTTTCTCTTTAATATGCTTATGAGCAAAAGCCACCGACTCAATCAAAACATCACACAGTTTGCAGGTATATTTTGCTGATGGGTAGCTTCGAGGTTGCTAAAATAAAGATAGTAAAAAACCCTAAAATATAGAAAGATATTACCTTCATTTCATTCAATACTCTTGCTAGGTTGAATGACTAACTCTGAAGTCCAGAAATACCAACGTCAGCTTTCCTAACTTTGTCATTACAGTAAGTTTGCATTATCAAATATAATACCAGAAGAATGGTGGTACTGGGCCAGTCAAGCCCAATACTTTGTCTTTTTAAGCGGAAAATACCCAAATTAACTGAACAAACACACAATAAAACTTTTCTGGTCCACTGCCCCAGCACCTAGCGATCTGATGTTACTTCATGAACTAAACAAGCAGCCATTATTTGTGCTTAAACTGCTGCCGAACCAAGATTTTTTTATAGTAAGAAAACAAAGGATAACCTGCCTCCTCTTAACAATTCATTAACAGCACCCACTTTGTATGTTACATCAGTTCTTGTAACTAGACTTTCTAGCCACAGTCAGAGAAATTGCTCAAAGAGTACCCTCTATATTGTATTCATATACAAAAGAAAATAAGAGAAGACCATACAAGACAATGGCACCTTCTTCAGTCTATAAATGCAGTCTCTCTTCAACCGTTCTTCAGCTTGCTGTAACCCTAGCAGTTCTTTTGCCGATAGCAGAGATTCATCTATGACAGGACCATCCTCTTGATCTTCATCACATTCATCTTTTCTAGTTCTTCTTGATCTTCTTGGTTTCCTAAGCTGCTTCATTTCTTACAAAGAGTTATGAGAGGAAATGTGTCAAATAACTTCAGAGTACCACACAGCATTTTTTTTCTTTAACTATCATTTCACTTATGTGCAAGTCAAAGATACGAATCATCCACCCCGCATGGTTTCACCTGTTCTGTGCAAGTCTGATAACAGCAAGAGCATATATTTATGTCATAATCTAAAGTACCTTTGTTCCAAACTATTAAAAAACACTTAAGTTGTCCCATTGAAGTCACCGACCTTATTTAGATAGCTTTGTTAAAACTGCAAAAAAATAAATCTAAATGCAGTAGATTTCACTGCCTAGTTGGGACATATCCACATGACATCATAATGAAAAGGTAAAATATATGTGAAGATTTCAGGACATCTGGTCAGGCTTAGGTAGACAACAAGCTAGAAAGTGAACTGACCCATAGACCACTACGAATATCACAGAATTAGTGACTGTAGGCCAATCTGTATGACCTGTAAGAGCTAAAAGCACTATGATATAGCACTGCCATGGCTTAGCTGACATACAACAATTTATTATCATTAGTAACAATTGTCTGTTAATGTCATTTGCCTTTCAATTAAACCATATGGATCAGTATTCCCTTCACCCTACTAAATAGACAACTAGAAAAAAAAATAACAACCTCTGTTGGCTACATACGTGAATAAATAATGAACTTGCTAAGTATTTGCACACCTTGCTTAATAAAGCTATAAAACTGGTAGAATAAATATGCTTAGAAAGCTTGTTATGTTTACAGCAAAAGTTCTGGAACAAATTAATGTAAATACCACTTCCACTTTTAAACAAACATCATAATTTTGAAGCAGGAATTGCTACTGGTCCAAAGAATACCTGTAAAAATCATCTCAGGAATGAATACACACAGGTCAGATTTTCACACGACTTCAGATCGCATCTTACCTTTCATTTGAACAGCTATACAGGATGTCCAGATACATGGAATTTACTAAAGTTCACTGCTTCTGAGAAAGCTTATATGACTTCCTTAGACTCCAAAACCCTTATCATAGCATGAGGCTTTAATTTGTAATAATTTTTTAAAAAGAAAAAGAGACACCATAAAACACAACTTCCCTACCAGATACACTTAGGAAGTTTCTTTCCTGCAACCACAATTTTTGTCTCTAATAACTGGCAATAGAGAAAGGACCTGGTTGTGTCTTTTCAATCAGCTGTTTGATTCACCTCACTAGGCAGCATGCACTAGTGTTGTAATAGGAACAGGACAAGAATGGTGATATAATTTGTTTCAGTAGCAGCACAAGTTTATGCTGGAATAAACACAACTAAGGCTTAGTAGGTTGCAGGGACAGTACTGCAAAGGAAGCTCCAAGGAGCAGAAACAGGAGTTTTGAGTCTCTAAACTTTACAGATCTCTTCCATTTTCCATGCTGACTCTCGGGCTCAAACTCCCAAGACCTGCCACAGTGGTTTGACTACATCTTTGCTGATTAGTGTAGACAGGACTTGGAGAAAAATGTCTATTTAATGAACATCTTTGCAGGAAAGTATGTGACAACTAACTACTTAACAATTATTTCTGTAACCACTAAGTACACTTTAAAAAAAATTACAAAGTAAATAAATACTTCTAATATTTGATAGTTACAGCAGTGACAATCTAATTATAGATTAATGACTAAATAAAGTACTAAAAGTAAGTTAAAGTTAAAGCTCCTGTAGTAAAATCAGTGCCTCAGAGATTGGGTAAACTTCCTTACAAGCTACAGTAAAGGGAA